AAAGAGGGACACCAACCGCACCATTAGGTCCACTAGTTTTAGATATCTTTAGCTCAATCTTTATAAAAATTATTGTTTGTTTGGATTTATTGTAAATATTAGTGCAAAATAAATACTTTAAAGTAAACGGCATTTTACTCAATATTTCATATATTATTAATGGCTTATAAATGGTTAGTTTGCGTGCAATCTATACATTATAATTACATATTAAAAACTATATCTGAAGCCAAATCTACAAATTTTGAATGCAATTTATATTGAATATGATTTCATTGAATAAGAGTTACAATAGAATATGTGATAATGAAAAAGTAAATTGAAAATAAAGCCATCGTTGCATAGAATTGCTTTATAAACTGATTTGTTTGCTGAATGTATAAGTTATACAGTATAACTAATTATTAGTAATTTGTAATTACTGTCGGTGTCGTTGTGTTGTAAAAACTATAAATTATTTTATTTTCATAAAGTGTTTAAATATATTAAGCATTTCACATATTGTGTTGAAATTACAAATATATTTCACTGGAAATGGTGTCAAATCCTCATATTTTGCACACTCTTAGAAATTGACAACAATTTTAATACTTCAACGAGTTGTTGACTCGGGATAGAGAAGTGCAACATTTGAACAAGGTACATGTGTGGCCATACAATTGTACTACTGTGTAGATTAGATTGCATTATTGTGCAAAATGGTGTAATATTCGAGAATATAAAATGGTTTGATCTATGTAGAGAATTATAAACATAGAGTGAAATATGCATTCAATTAATTCATCATAAAAAGGCAATTAACCTCCAAATGACATCCTCTCTAAACACAGCATCTTTTCCTATAACCCAAATGAGATTTGTTTTGGCATTTATTGTGTAACACTAGTAACAGCTCCACCCGTTCCCATAACTGCCCCTTTCATGTAATCATAACAATATATAATTGCATTCAAAGAGAATTTAATTCAATGCTAAATATTAGGAGAAAATGATGTCTTTTAGGCAAAGAGATGAATGCGAGGAAAGCAAAAGTGAGTTAATTTTTGTGGATTTAAGTGATTCAGTGATTGTAACGAGAGATGAATTGGAGAAAAGCATTTCCCGAATCCCTAATTTAAAACTGAGAAGCGATCCGATCGACGAGATTCTGCACCAGAAGTCACGCCAACAGTCAATGCAATCAAATTCTTGTCGTTTGAAAAAGAGCTCAAAGAATACCAATTTAAATAAAATGCATTCAAAGCCAACTCTTTTGGCTCCAGACATCCGAGCGGAGCATTCATTAAAGTTTTCATACATTAATCCAATTCCTGAGTCAATGACTCGTTTGGATTTAAATGATTTTTGCGATACAGAAATCGATTGGAAAATGTTAACACTTTTGAGACCAAATACATCGCTCGATGAGCAATATTTTGAGCGTTTGGTACAACTCTATCAATGCAGACATAAGACCAGAACCGAAGATGGCTTTGG